ATAAAAAACTATGATTACAAATTAATTTTATATATTCTATTTATAAATACATATTAATAACATTAAAAATAATTATAAATGTAAAAAAAACTGATAATAATTGTAAATCAAGTATTTGAAAATGAAAATTGTATTTGTTTTTGTATTTTCATTAGCAACATATGGATATCGATGTGACTGTACTCCAAATGGCACTGACACTGACGACGGATTTACTCCTTCAAATTGTTCAGTAACAACAAATTCGATCTGTTTTTCTTTAAACTTTAATTTTTCATCTGATATATTCATGTTTCATAAATTTGTCATTATTAATAACATAAAATTTTATTCGAACGAAGAAAAATGGTACAACATTCAAACTCTTACAATTGCTTCAGATTCTATTTTTTCAAATACGATCAATTTGCATAGCAACCAAACACTTATCATTGAGCCAAAAGCTACAATACATGTGATTAAAAATACATTTATGTTTGGAAAGTTGTCCATTGCTGGAAACCTCAATTTGATTGATCCAGAATTAAACAACCCACGAATCATCATGTGGAATTCAACTTACCTCCACCTCAATTATAACTACACTGGAAGATCTGATTTTGATATAACGAATCCAACAGACAACACAAAGTGTTTTGATGTCATTTCACTTAATAACGAATCTAATATCGACATTAATACAAATCCAACCCATATCACATCAGATATGTTTAAATACTCATTCAACTTTACAATGGGGAAGGGGTACCTCATTTCAAATAAAAAGTTAATTCGATTTTGCCCAAATGGTACACCACTTGACAAAGACGTTGTTTGTATGTTGAAAACAAATATGTACACTTCAAAATCACCAACCACAATGGAAGGTGCATTTGATTATCCACATTGTCCGTGTAATAACGATGGTGGTGTGAATTGCAAACTCAAATTATCAAATAAATTTAATTGGTTTGACATGTTTAATAATGATCTTAGTGGCACAGAATTGGTGATAGATCGTAGTATTGCTATTTATAACTTTAAGAGTTCAAAACAAGTTACTGTTGCTGATGATATTATATTGACATTTTACACAAAAATTGTTAATGATTTAGTGTTTTCGTTCACTTTTGGAAAAGTAGCCATTTCTTTGTTTGATGATTATTCGTCATTTGTGTATTCATCTGTGTCAAATACAATGTCGTGTAACGGTGCTTCATATTACGAATTTAATTTAAACCGAAACACCACAGAATTAAATATTGACTGCACAGGAAATATAAAAACACTTTGTTTGTATGAAAACACAAACATTTTCATTTCTAAAAACACAACTTTGGTTCAAATCGTTCAAATTAATTTCAGTGAAAATGGAAAGAGTTTTGTATTCTTGGAAAACGCCAGTAACAACAATGCAATGAAATATTGTTATCTTTTTGAAATGACAAAAGGTGGTTTAACGTGCCTCATGTGTGACAATCAATATCGACTTGTAGATGGAGCATGTCTACCTCTTGACGAAAATTGTGAGACGTACAACAAAAACAACAAATGTGTATTGTGTAAAACTGGGTATGTTTTGAATGGACAATTTGAGTGTATTAGTTCAGAAATTTGTTTATATGGCACATCAACTAATTGTTACAAATGTCAAGACAGATACATAACAAATGAAAACAAATGTGTGTTGGATACCAAGTGCCAACACGGTGATGGAAGCGTTTGTATTAATTGTCACAATGGTAATTCATATAAAAAATGCGAGAGCTGCACATCGCATTGCCGTTTGTGTAAAAACGAGAAATGTTCCATTTGTGATAACAACTTTATATTAAAAAATGAAAGTTTCTGTGTTGAAATGGAAGGTGGAGTTTCAAATGGAATATCG